AAAACCGACCCTCGATTTTTGGCCCTTTTTTGGGCGTTACATTGATATATCTTAGGTAATATTGGTGTTACCAGGCTGCGAGCTAGTGCATTTGAAAGCCTTCATTCTGGTGCATCTTTTGTGCTCCTGTAGGTCTTGATAGAGTGCAGTTTAGTATCGAAAAACTACGTCAACAAAAGGTCGGTTTTTTCGTCAGTACCCTCCATGGGTGTATTCCAGGGTCCTGATGAATCAGGTATGAATCAATTGATCAAACTGGGCGCTTTTGACAGTGGTAAAGAGAGAATCATGGGTTCTCAAACTCATTTGAAATTTCAATTATTCGAAAAGTTTTTCAAAACATTCGAGAAGTTTTTTTCAAATTATGGTTCTCAAACCTATGCAAAAATTTGTGCAAGTTTTGAGCAACTTCTGTGCAAGACATGAATAGAACTTGCACGGAACTTGCACGGAACTTGCACGTCGGTCTCGCACGGTTTTCGTACCAGTTGGAACAAAATAGCTGGGGTCGTCAAAAAATTTAATGCGCAAGATTGGTGCAAGAAATCTTGCACGGATCTTGCACGTCGGTCTTGCACAGTTCTTGCACAGGTTTGAGAACCATAAATGTTCATCAATCATGCATACAGCTGTACTTTGAAGAGAAAGAAACTGAAAAAGTAACCATATGTAGTACGGTATGTATAGTACGGTACAGTATGAGAAATTTATTGAGCGAGTAAGTATGTAATCAAACCCTGGACAAAACTTCTGGAAGCTTCCAGATCCAATTTGCCCTTTTGATCTCTTCATCAGACTTCTCCACTTGCCCAATTCGCCAGCAACTCCTCAACTCACATCATCTCTCAGCCAACACCAGCCAACACCTTCATCCCACATTGACATGGCCCCTTCCACTCGAGCCACTCGATCCAATGCCCTTCATCGTTCTCCATCACCACGTCCTTCAAAACGAGCACGTCAGCCTCGTGCCACAACCCGAGTCGCTCCAAAGTCTACATCAGCTAAT